AGAATTTTACTCAAATTTAAAAGAAAAAAATTCTATGATGAGACATCCACAGAAGTAAAACAAAAACCCACTTCTTCTCCAATACGATGGAGTCCCAAAAGCATGCTTTCTTAGATTCAAACAAAATCCACTATGATAATGTGCTCAGTTTTAAGTCCACGTGACTTCATGCTCTGCTTGGTTACCACATCTCAATCCATTTACAATCAGGACCACTTAAAATTATTCAAAAAATATTTATAGTTTTACATTTGCACGTTCTTATATATCAAACTTACAGAGAATCAGTACATAGTGAAAGAAATGCAAAACAACTACTGAACTACACAATAATAGAAACTTACAATTCACATTATCATCTATTTTTTTCCAAGATTGGAAAATTAGTTAAAATTCATTAACAATCAAAGATTCAAATTAGGAGATCAATCAAATTCACCATCCATTGCATTTGGAAAATTTACCTCTAAAAATTAATAGGATTAGGTTGAGCTTCCTCTTCTTCCTTGCCCCAGTAGGCCTAATTCTGCAAAACCACAAAAAGAAGTCTCATTAAAACTCTAAATTATCATCCATATAAACCGCCGCAATCTCAAAATTCCTAAAGTTGATGTCTTTATTGGAAAGAGATCCCAGAAAGAAGGGAGCGGACTGAAGAATTGGTCAAGTTGAACAAGATCACTGATTAACCCTTTCCATAGAAAAGAAGGGAGCTGCTTCAACGTTGCTAGAAAGTTTAGCAGAAATCTTTTCAAAACAAAAAAAAAGAAAGAAAGAAAGAAAGGAAGAAAGAAAACAAGGGAAGGAAAGAAACAATTTTCACAAACCAAAAAGAAAAAAAATCCGAGAACAGTTTCTCACCTCGGCTCCGGTGGCTAGCAGAGCAGGGGGAAGGAAGCTGTTTTTCGAAACACAACTTAGCAAAGGTTAAATGCCAACTTTAGTCCCTCAACTTTAGAATTTTACATAGTTTTCATCGTCAACTATTTTAAGTACTTTTTTATTCCTCTATTTTAAAAAATATTTTTTTTTCATTTTTTTGTTAATTAATTTACTAAGTCTATTCATATAAATATATTTTTAATTCTTAAATTTATAAATTTAAACGCTAAAATATATATATGATATAAATTTAAAAACTAAAAATATATATATTTAAATAAATTTACAAATTAATTGATGAAATGACTAAAAATTTATATTTTTCAAAACCAAAAGATAAAATAAGCACAAAAAAGTTGAGAGTCAAAAGATGTGTAAAACTTTAAAGTTGAGATGTTAAAATTGATAATTAACCAATTAGCACATAATAATTTGGAGTTGTGAGTTTTAACGAAATTGATATAATTTTAATATCAGGTAATATTATAAATTTATAATATAATATATTATTATATAATTTTATTTTTACATTTAAAAATTTATACATAATATTATATTTATTTATTCATTTAATATTACTTTATAGTTTATACTCATTTAATATATAATCATAATTATAAATTTATAATTTTATGTAATTTTCTAAATATAGAGAATTTTAAATAAAAAATGTTTAAAACCAATAAAAATCCTTCAACTTGTCAAAAGTATTTGTTGTCATCCTTGTGCTTTAAACGAAGTCATTAAAATCAGCGTACCTTGGGAAACAAGCCAACCAGGCAACCACCATCCCTCCGTCAACTGCAGTTAACGAAATAAAAAATAAAATTATGTGATAAAATTAAAAATTGTCTAATTTTATCTAATTTAATCCAATCTTATTATTAGTATCTTATCTAGTCATCTCCATTCCTCTAGTCCAAACGTGCTTTAAGTTTAAGGGGATAAAACTGGTTCAGGCCCAGGCCCAGGCCCCCAATCTCCGCCGTTAATTGGGACCGGCCGACATGCTTGTCCCCTAAATTCTTCTTGAAGCTATTTTCCAGTTTCGGCAGCCGAAAAACCATCATTAAAGGCTGTGTGCTTAGATATGACAACGGCCCTGTGCGGACGGCTATCCGCGTGGAGGGTTTTTACAGGACCAGCAAATGGCCTCCGTCTCGCCTCATTTTTTTTTTTTTAAGATTTTCTTTTTCGTCAATTTATAATAAAAAATTAATTTAATTATTTTATTTTATTATTTTAAAGTAATTTTTTTTAAAAAATTAGGTTAAAATTAAAAGAAAGAAGTGTTGGGTTGGGTTGAATATGACCAATAACCGACAGATTATGAATTAAATATTTTTTTAATTTGACTTACATGATAGAGATTTTATTTATACTTGTTTAATTCATATATTATATGTGTTAAATTTAAAATTTTTTATTTTTATTAAAAAAATTATCATTGAGTTATTCAAATTATTAATAATTATATATTTAAATTAAATTAGATTTAATAATTTTTATTAATTTTGTAATATTTTACAAGAAAAAGAGATATAGGCCTTTGTGGAGACCTTGCTAGGTGAGGAAAATTTTTTGCAATGTTTATGATGAGAAATGTATCATTTTTTTCGTTAATTTAAATAATTTAGTAATAATCTCTTTTTATTATAAATATGAGATTTTTAATTTGAATAATATGATATGTAGATAAAATAAAATAAAAAATAAAAAATAAAAAATAATTATCTTTTATTATCTAATCAAAATTTTTAAAAAAATACCAGTCCCGCATGGATAGAAGGAACTTGTTACTCCTATGTGTGTTTTATATTTCCTTATTTAGTCATTGTCTTATTGCATTAATCTTATGCATCTCTTTTTATATAGAAATTTGGGACGATGCAAGATGAGCTACCATGGTCCAAAAGAAGGGTGCGGAGCACGGAAAGATTAAAGATGTTTGAGAAAGATTAAAAAGTAATTTTTTTTAAAATAATTTTTTTTATAAATTTATAAATTAATTTTTAAAATAAATTTTTAAAAAATCATACCCTTTAACTTTTAAAAAGTATACTTCTTCGTTTCCAA